TTCTTATCACTGGTAACGACGCGGCTTTCCTCTCCCTCATTCCCACAGCTTCACAGAGCTTTAAACAGTCGGACGCTGAGCATCCAGAGTTCAATAGCGAGGCAAAAAAACACAGAGAAACGAGACGAGTCATTGGATAAATGCTGGGCTTTTTCCCGCCCATCAGACGCTGAGCGTCTCTGGGGGTCTATGGAGCAGTGGGCTGGCTCGGACGCTCAGCTTCTGCATGATGATTGGATATCTGTCTCAGTCTCTGTGTTTCAGAAAAACACAGCGACCACACATTCAGACCCATGGATGAAGCTGCTCAACAACACAAAGAGAAACTTCTGGAAACTCTGGAACCATTAAAGCAGAAACTGGAGAAACCGGCTGACTGGTGAGGAGCAGAGCCAGCTGCTCCAAGCTGTGTTTATTTTTTCTCCCTCCRGGTTTTAATTAACATATATACGGTCGGTCAGATATGTTTTTGGCTTGTTGGAAACGTTGGTTATTTTTGCACACTTTCCTGCGTGAACTTGGAGACCTTTCTGCCTTTTATCCGCAGCTTCTCAGCATGTTTTGTTCAGTGCTTCCTACCTCTCTACAACTCTGCTCCGAGCAGCTCGAATGGCATTATTTATAACTTTGGTTGAAAGGGGAGGGGCTGGCCGAGGAGTGCTGAGAGATTTCATTGGATTAGCTCGATGTCGCTCAAGAAAATCAACCAATGGGCCATCACGGTTGACAAAAAATAGTTATACTTTATTTTTTTGGTTCATGACAGGACCGCCCGGCCAAAAATCACCAACGGCCCACCGGGAAAGTGCCCGCTATGCCCGATGGCCAGTCCAGCACTGCCTGAAGGTGCTGCGCTGCTTCATCACGTTTGCCTTTAGCGTCTAAGACCATCACTTTCTCCTGTAAGGGTCTCATTAGGCTCCACAGCTTGGTTTTGTGGTCCTGCGAGGCCTCGTTGACGGGTCTGAACCTGTGCTTGCTGTGGTCCTTTGAGTCTCGGCAGACCGGCTCCTGATGATCCAAACAGAACAGTTTGAGCTTCTCAGCGTGCAGAACACAGAGGTTCTCCTCTGACTCTGAAGACATTTCAGCTGGACTGATCTCCTTCAGTGTTCTTTTAACTTTGTGCTGTTTATTTCCCAGGATAAAACCTGCAGGCGTGGCATTACCCACAACCCAGCTGCACCAGGAAACCTGCACGTTTCTCCTGCTGATGAGAACAGCAGCGTTTGGTCTGGTCAGGACAGATGTTCATGTCTGATCCCATCCTTCCTCAAACTCATCTGACAAAACTGGTTCTGACCTGAAATCCAAAAATAAAATCTTTTTCAAAAATACTCCAAATTCTTAACATAAATTATATTTTTGTTGTGCGGATTTTGTTTTTGATTTATAAACAGATAGTTCTGTGTTTATTAGCTTGAGCTGCTTTAACCACAAGGAAATATATATATWTTTTTTTAAATCAGATCATCACATCAAGGAGAAAAAACAACAAACTTGTGAAGTCATGAATGTCAGGTTTTACCTTCTTGTTTGTCTGCAGTAACATGTCTGATCAGGTCATCTTCTCCAGGCTTTCCAGATTTTAGTCATGTTTATTAAACCTTTCAACCCTGTAAAATAATAAATCCTACTGTACCCAACCTTACCTATTATTACAACACACAGGTAAACTGGAGCTGTGGTATTTTAGTCATGTGATTGATTGTTTTCCTCTATTATTTGAGGTCAGTTGATAGAAAACTGATGGGTGCAGGCTGGAGTCACAGACCAACGAGTCACGTGGATCTGTTTAGTCCCTCAGCTACCTGGACCTGATGACATGTGACACCTGCTGCTCTCCTCCCAGGTGTTGTTTGATCTGCTGACATTTAAGAGAAGAGACTGCTTCATCACATCACCTGGACTAAACAAACTC